GAAGGGTTTATTTGGGCCAGTACTTTTGGGTTACAGCCCATCATGGCCAGGAAAACAAATGTGCCGGAATGTGAGGCAGCCATACGCACGATCAGGAGCAGAACGCAAAGAATGCAAGTACTAAACCGAATTTCTCCCTTTTTCACTCAGCATAGGATCCCAGCCAATGGAAAGGTGCCACCTATATTTAGGATGGGTCTTCCCAAAATCTAGAAACTCTCTCACAGACACGCCTAGACGTTTGTCTCCAAGCTGATGTTTAGATCCTGTCAAGTTTATAATCAGTATTAGCTACCAATCACACTAGGTGACTAATACAAACAGAAATATACTTCGCATGGTTCTGGAGGCCGAGTGTCTCGTGAGGGAGAGCCCCATCACAAATGACAACTCTTTGTATCGGCTTCCTACAGCAGAGGCAATCAGGCTCACGTGGGCCTCCTTTATGAAAACAGCAGTCCTACCTAGAAGGGCTCTGCCCTCATCGCACCAGTCTCTTCTGAGTGGATGGTGGAGCAAAGCAGCTTTAGGAATGCAAGTTCAGAGCAACTGGCAGTGTGCGGCTCTGCTTGCCTACCTTGTGCTGGTCCCCTGTAGGAGGCGGGGTGGGGGTGGGATTTAAAAGGCTAAGTGTAATGCTTACCTCCTGCCACTAGACAAGACAGCGATTCCTTTAACCTCTCTGAGCCTAGGCCTCCACATCTGTACATTACAGAGGGCAACACAGCCAGGTTTCTCGCCAGGCATTACAAGGGTTAAGAGGAAATGAACCAAGCAAAATGCCTCACTCAATAATTACACTTAAAACCTTTAGTAAATGCTGGCAATGATAAGCAAAGCAGATCTCTAGCCCATAGGATGGTGGTTTATTTACCAGTCAAAGGGATAAAGGTTAGTGGTAACATAGAAGGTGGAGATGAGGGGAGAGACCTAGCCTGACACCTCTCTGCCTCCGAATACAGAACAAAGTAGCCTAACAATCACTGCCAGAAAGACCCAACTCTTCACTCCACAGAACAGGACTATAAACTACTCATGTCCAGGGCTTAAAACCTCATGGAATAGTGTCCTTGTCTTACAACTTCCAGAGTATTACACTATCACTCCAGTTCCATGACTGCTCTCCCAAATACTCATTCTCGTCCCCTAATATTTTATTCAAACTTTTATATTCAGAATTCTTCTTCTGCAAAGAGCTTATTATGCAGCTGTGTATGGCACATCTGCTTTTCATATTTAAGGAGGAAGATAGAGACGGGAGTCACAGAAACCATTACTCAAGAGTCATTCCTTCCACACTGGCAAGTTTGCAAAGATTTTGTTTTCCCCCCAACTATGAAATACTTCATCAGCACACATACACATAGGTAAAAATAAGTAAGTCTTTAAAAATGAATAAATTTCTCAAGGCCACCAAGATAGCCTCAGACTGTTGCCAAACCTGATGAGCAACATTTGATCCCGGAACCTGTGTGGTGGACGGAGAGAAGAGACTTCTACAAGTTATCTTCTCTTTTCCATGTGCTCGAAGTGGCATGCACACCCACACACGTAAACATAATAAAACAAATTGTAAATAAAAAAATACATTTCTTCTATGATATACTTTCAGTAAATGTCACATCATTTTATATACCTATAACCAGGTTGTCCACAACTTGCATTTGAAGACAGGGTATGGCCACATAGAAAAGCCATAAAAGCCTGGACCTGGACGTTTGGAATGGACCCTTAGGGATACTCCAAGCTTGGCAGGCTCAAACTTTCAGACAGCTCAACCTGATTTTCCCACACTTACAGTTGGAAGCTACAGTCCCATGAGAACTGCAAAGACTAATCAGGACTCACACCACCCATTCAGCAAAATTAATCCAGGAAGTTGGGTAAATCAGCTAGCTGAAGGCACCTGCTGGCTCAGAAAGAGTGCTAACAGCACACTGGTCTACACCAGATCAGCTTGACTCTCCAGAGGCTTTCAATGTCAAAGGCAGAAGAAAAGAAATCTGGGCCATGCAAATTTCTTTTGTCATCTGAGTTCAGCAGGAGAGCAGCTAGGAAGCAGTGCTCGAGCCTGCTGAAGTCTTGAGTCGAGCTCCTTCTCATCTTCACTGAACACAATCTTGGTTTTGGTTTTTTTAATCACCTCCTAAAGTATGTTTCTGGTACGGAAGAGTCAAAAGAAGTACAACCCTGTTTAATCACCAACTAAAATGAAGCAGAGTGGTCTGGCAATATGGGCATGTTATGTGCCCAGTCTATCTCTGCCGAGGGGATGGGTGTAGACCATCCCCTGCAGACCACCTTCCACAGACCTGCTCTTACTGGTGTAAGTACCTTCAGAAAGCTGCCCACTACAGCGGCATAAGTCCGAACATTTGAGCGCATGATTTTAACTGAAACTTGAAACTTCATGTACATACATGCGTGTCTGCCTATGTGGACACGCATGTGGTAGACTGAGGTTGACCCTGGGAATCACCCTCGATCATTCTTTCAGCTTATTCATTAAGGTGGAGGTGTCTCTCAGCTAAACCCAGAGCTTACGGATACAGCTAGACTCAGTAGCCAGCTTGTTCTGAGGATCTCCTGACTCTGTCTTGCAGAGCTAGAATGACGGGCAAGCCTCCAAACCCACTCAGCATTTATGTGGGTTCCGGGGGTCCAAACTCTGCTCCTCACAGTTGCATAGCAAACACTCTTAAAAGATTAAATAATAAAAAGGAGACAGCTCAATGTTAAAGTCAAATTCTCACTATGTACCCCTGACTGGCTTGAAACTTACTCTGTAGACCAAGCTGGTCTTGAATTTTTGATGATTCTCCAGCAGTCTCTGCCTCTAGAGTTCTGGGATCACAGTCGAGTGCCACCCCGATCAACTGAGAAATCACTACACAAAGATTCAGTGTTAGACAGAGTTCTACCATGATCAAAGAAGTTACATTTCCTTCTACCATGATCAAAGAAGTCACATTTCCTTCTTTTCTCTACAGGTATTTTGATGATGTATTGTTAAGTAAAATTAAACTGTTTCACAGATGACTATCATCAGAGAGGTGAAAGCACTTTCTGGAATAATGATAACACATGTTATGTATCAAGTCTATCTCTGCCTAGGGGATGGGTGGCCTTCTGAGTCACTTCAACTACAAACAGGTGGCTGGGAAGTTTCCTTGAGGTTTTTCCCTTGATGATATTTTGGGGGGTCACTAACTACACATGCAGTCCATTATACCACTCTGTAAACAATGGTACAACAAATGTTTGTGTGGCTTTGCTTCAAACTGTTAGTCATTGGCCATCTGAAGGTACAGTAGGTCTTCACTTGAGGACCTGTGAGTGGCAAATGCTTTCGAGACAGGCATAGCTGATCCTGTCACTGTGCAGCTACTCTGACCTGGTATCAGACAGAAAACTGGAGACAAGAGGATCTGAGTTCGAGGCCAGCCTAGTCTACATAGTGAGTTCCATGAGAGCCGGAGCTACATAGTGAAACTTTGTCTCAAGAAACAAACAAAAGTAAAGTGGCCCTCTGTTGCCATCATTTTACTGTGATCTTGTGATTTACACCTGTGATCTCTTGCCCTCTTCTTTCAGCCTTTAAGACCAAAACTCACTACCAAGGCAATGTGTGAGGTAGCCCCTTCTACTAACTTACACACAAGAAGAGAACTTCATTTTAACTGGGTTGTCATGTAGCCAGAGCAAGGGTACCTTTGATAAAAGTGACAGAGAAACTCAGCCACTTTGAGGACTTGTGAGAATGGCTAAGTTTTTTTTTTAAGTGAACCATAGAAGAAAAAGCATAAACTGAGGCCTATTAGAAATTGGCAACTCTGTCGCTTAAGTTTCCACATCTGTGAAAGGGAGAAAATGCCTTTAGAACACAAGCTCATGCTGAAATAAGAAAATAGTGTAGTTCAGGGACCAGTTTCCAACTCTAACAAGCTCATGTTGCTATGGCTACATGGACTGTACTATTTGCATTAAGAAAGATGCCTGATTATATGTAAACAGTCAGTAAGTGATCTGCCTGATCTTTTTTGGATGTTTAGAACTAAAAATCAGGTTCTTAACTACCAGTCCCCCTTCCCTTCCTAAAAGCAAAATCGAAAAACAACTGCAAGAACTCTAGAATGACACAACATATTCCCACACAGTTCCTCTGATTGATGCATGGTTGGTATACCAGGACTCCTAATTTCTAATAGGCCTCTGCTGCTGGTTCCCTAGATCCTACCATTCTAATAGTTACTCTCTTCTGGGGAGAAGGCAGGAGAGACTCACCTTGATTCACCTCGTTGCCAACCAAACGTGGAAAATCCTTCAATAAACATGGTGGTTTTCCATTTAGGCTACACTGAAATCATCTGAGGAACTTTCAAAACTCTAAATACCCAAGTCATACCCTAAACCAACCACATCAGAATATCTAAGGGGTGGGGCCAGGTCCAATATTTGAAAAAGTCCCCAGCACAGTCCAAGATGAAGCCAAGACTGAGTGAGACTTTGTGCTGGCTCTCCTCTCTTGATCTCCAGTGCCTTCTGCCACACATGAAACCAGAAAAGACAACCTAGAGCATGTCAGACCCACAGCTGTGCACAGAAGGTACAATAGGATCCCAAACACACGAACAGCACAGGTACTGCACTGGCCTCTACGAAAGGTCACCCAGTACCTCACTGGAAAAACACGTTCAAACAGTTTGTCCTTCCAGCAAAAAATAAGTTGGCTAATTTTACAGGCATCATTGTCTGTATTTGACCTGATCATTAGAATTTTCCTCCTTTTTAATGGGCAAATCTCTTGAGAAGGAGATAGTGTGTGCACCCCAACCCAACACAAACCACTGAGGAGCAGACAATTCCAGTGGCTGCCTAGAAAGCAAGCGCCCGGCAGGCTGCCCCAGCGCAGGGCGGGGAAGCGCGCCGGCCGCAACCACTGCACCTGCCGCTGTGCTCTGGGCCGCACCTGCCGCGCCATGCCTGCCCCTCCTACCTACCTTCCAGCAGCTCGTCCAGGCTGGTGACCTTCCGGCTGCCGTCTATGGTGTAGATTGTGCGGACGCCCTGGGGCAGGTTCACATTGTCAGACAGCGAGCGGGTGAGCTCCATGAGGAGCGCATCGAAGGAACGGAAACGGTCGTTGGAGATGGCAAAGACCAGGCCTTTGAAGTAGCGGTCCCCATTCCGGTAGAACCGCGCCTTCTTGGCCTTCTTCTCCGAGCTGAGGGCCTGCAAGGTCCGCGTGCGGTAGAAGCTGCAGTGAGCACTGTGCGCCGGGCTGGGGATGAGCCCGTTGCCCTTGGGGCCAGAGATGCTGCTGCCTCCGGAGGAGCTGGGAGCCCCTCTCCGCGACCCTGGCCGCGGCCTTTTGTCCCGTTCTTCAAAATGTTCCAGCTCAATGCTTCTGGTGCTGGCCATCGCGGCTGCTCGGAGAGCTCTCTACAAATAAATTAATTAATGAAAGGACGTCCCCGCCGCCCCGGCCGCAGCGCGCCGCGATCTAGGCGCACGGTCCGGCCTTAGAGCCGCGGGACACCTGGCTCGGGCATTCGGGCCATGCTCTCAGGTGGAGCCGCTCAGCCAGCTAAAGGCGACCGCAGCGCGCAGCTGCCCAGCTCATTGTCCCGCGCGCCCTCAATCGCCGTCGCCAGCTGGGGAGCCCCACGCCCCCCAAGCGCCTCCTTCGCCGGGCCACGCCTCACAAGTAGTGCGCGGGCCGTGGGCCGGGAATCGCCAAGTTGAACGACCCTAGGCTGGCCCGGGTTCGCATCCGGCCTGCGCTCTCCGGCGCGCTCAGCGGAGGAAGGAAGCGGAGGGGGGAGGGGCGCGAGCGTGGGCGAGGCGCCTCGGGGCTGTCTTGCGCGGCCTGGGGTCCTGGGTTCCCGCCGCGGCCGCCGCCTCGCGCGCGCTCAGGCCCAGTCCGCGGCCGGTGCGCGTCCCGGCTAGCCGGGGATCCTGTGGAGGCACTGGGCCCCTGCGGGAAGAGTGAGCCGCCTCCCACGCGCGCACGCCCCACGGGCACCCGCGCTCTCGGCCGCCTGTCACGGCCTGGACCCCAGAGGACACCCTCTGTCCCTTCAGGGATACCACAAACCACACCAGAGGGAGATGGTGAGGAGGAGGAGGGCGGCGCCGCGCGAGGAGCCGCTCTACGGTCTGGGGAGGCCCCGCCCGCCTGGCTACCGGAGCCGCGCGCTCCCGGGCGTGACCGCGCTGCGCGCTCCACAACCGCGGGGGCTAGCGTAACTGCGCTAGCCAAAAAAAAAAAAAAAAGCCTACAAAGGAAGGAGACTCAAGGGCAGCAAGCACATCCTTATCCTGCCTCCTGGGGAAAAACCGAGGCCAACCTAGGGCAGAAATACAAAACGTAGCACTAGGTTTGGATGTAATATTTATTTTGTTATAAACGGCTGATGCATTGTTTAGATAAAAGATCCTTTAGACGGAAAAAAAAATCCTTCACACTTTCTACTGCAGATTCGCTAACACAGTAGTTCCAGTAACTTTGGATGAATACACGATTACAAGTTAGTGGTTTCATCGAGTCAAGTATTTGTGGAGAGCTTGCCATTTGCAGAGCATTAATCTCATCGCTGGGGATGCTCAAGCATAGAACAGAAGCCTGTGCACTTGCCCACGCTCACACTCAGCTCATTCTGAGCTGTTCACAAAAGTGTATTGACAAACACCCATCATGCAAGAAAATCTCTTCTTGAGTGGTTATCTGACCCACAATAGAAACATATTTCAAAAAATTTTTGAAACGTCCGTTGTTTCACTTTGGCAATGTAGCTCAAAGGCATTCGGCCCTAATCTGACACATGAAATTAATGATTCAGCACCCAGTTCTTCAGCGGCCCGAAACAGCTCCAAACTGTCCTTGAAGGTAGGGCGACAGGACGCTTTGCTTGTGATGGACTGGATCAGCATAAAGTAGGAGGGGCTGGAAACAACCTTGAAGCAAATCACTTTTCATAAGAGGTTTAATGAATATGATACAGGTCAAGACCTAGAAGACAAACCTTGAGAACTGATTGAGATAGAGGGGAAAAGTTTCATAGGCATCCAATGTGACTCAGTAGGTAAGGGCACTTGCTGTCAAGCCAACCACTCGAATCATCGGCAGAACCCACATGGTGGAAGGGAAGCAGAGACTCCTGTAATTTATCCTCTGACCCTTCCATGCATGCCATGGCATACAACACAATAAATAAACCTAAAAACTTTTGAGAGAAAAATTGTTCCTGCATCCCAATGCTAATGCAAACAAATGGGAGGAAGCAGGCTTCAAGGAGGAAACTACTAATTAATCTGGATTGCTTTATGGTTTAAAATTTATAGAACCATAACACATTTTCCTCTTTCATACAAGTGCAGAGTTTCTACAGTAAGATGTTTAAAACTGGCATTTATTTCCCTTGCTGGGATATTCCTCTGCATCTCAGAAACACTGTCTGACCTGCTAGCAGCTGTTCACCTTCCTGGAGATTGACTGGGTCCCTCCTGGACTGTGATCCAGCCTTAAGGTGGTTTTATGAAGACAGGCTGGCCACAGGCAAATAAGTCACATTCTGGAAGCCAACCTTCACACACACACTCATTCTCATTCTCATTCTCTCTGTCTCTCTCTCTCTCTCTCTCTCTCTCTCTCTCTCTCT